CTAACGTATTATTTATATCTATGTATCTAAATGATCAAACTAAATTTGTTTTTAAAGGGTCGATTAAAAACGGAGAGTACTAATTGTTAATTAAACAGTTTGACTTCGTTTTGGTGTTTGGCTTTATAATGGCTCGATATTTACAGCTTTCGAGTTGAGCTCGAAGCTGTAATGCTTTCGTTATATACAGCTTTCGAGTTGAGATCGAAGCTGTAATGTTTTCGTTATATACAGCTTTCGGAAGCTGACAGATCTGTCAAACAGGTCTAGTATTAGTTGAAACCTTTCGAATACATAGGAGACATGTTTCTCTACAATTAGGTTTTTTTTTACTTAAATCCGTAGAGTAGTTTCCTAACAGTTTCCAAAAAAGCATAACGAACTTTTTTTTAAAATTAAACAATTAATGACTGGATTATTTAGTTAAAACTTTCAGATACGTTAAGGGACACATATCTTCTTCATAAATTTGCGGAATGCTCCTTTAAGTGGATTGTACCAAACGAGAATTATCTATTAGTATTGATATGTAAGTCTATGAAACCCAGAATGATATTTGTTGCCTGTCAAAGTATTTAGCCTTGTGTTTCAGGCAGACAATTCGTCAGCTAATCAGTAATTATAACTAATTTAAATATATATGTATATATCCTAGTGACGATCCTAATCTGATAATTTAACATTTTTTCAGGCCCCTGTATGTTCGAGAATGCAACGGTGAATGGAGTTTCAATTAATTTCAATAGAACTTATATTGGCCGTGATAATGAAACAGAGTGTGAAAGGAGATGTAACGCAACCGTGGGATGTACAGATTTTTTGAAATTCGCTGGATTCTGTCGAAATTACGGTCTTCCAATTCTTCAAATCGAAGTCTTTTCTAACGGAAGCGTAGATATGTGCAAAAACCTTTTTCTGTCAATTTTCACATGGATCACTGATCAACAAGGGGGTTGGTGCGAATCTGCAACAGTTTCCGATGATTCAATGAAGACCGCCATTTTCTTCATTTCCTTTTTCTCCAAATAATACGAGATACCCGATTGGATATATCGAATGGTGACGTATGGTCTGCAAAGAGAAGTTATTAGTCTCTAATGATGATAAAATGGAATTGT